ACCGAGAAGGATGTTTCCGACATTAAAGGAGCGATCGCGACTTTGTGCGTCAAAGTGGAAGAACAACGGGCGATGAGCGAACGAATCCAGAAGATGCTGGAAAGTTTCATGTCAGAGATAATTGGCGGTAAGACTTCGTCGATTACGCAGCTGGGCGAATCGTCGGTTCATAAGGACAAACAGAAGGAGGATGCGATGCGAGTAATCCAGATCAATGATCAGAATTATGATCGCAACAAATTCAAGAAGGTAGAGATGCCGATATTCATAGGTAAGGATTCTGATGCCTGGCTATTTCGTGCTGAGCGCTACTTTGAAATCCACAAACTGACCGATGAAGAGAAATTGATTGTGTCGGTAATAAGTTTCGACGGGGTGGCATTGGTTGGTACCGATGGCATGAGCCAAGAGATCGATTTACAGATTGGGAAAATTTGCAAACGCGGTTACTTAATCGATTTCGAAAGACGAAGGACGGACGCCGGTGTGCACGGTTGCTGGCCATTAAGCAAGAAGGAAGCGTAGAGGATTATCAAGAGGCGTTTGAAGCCTTGTCGGCACCCATGCCGTACCTCCCTGATGAGGTCTTAGAGTCCGCCTTTCTGAATGGCCTGGATCCGGTGATACGTGCCGAAGTGTTAGCTACGGAACCCCAAGGTTTGGAGCAAATAATGCGCAGGGCTTAGTTAGTCGAGGATATTGCTACGGCAGTACAGGAAGCAGGGGAGGGGGTCGTTGATCAGAATGCGAAGGTGAATGCGGCAATGGGGAAGACGACGATGAAAACACCGGAAGTAACTACAACTCCAACTCGGACCGTCACATTGGCCAGTAAGACAGGAACGGCAACGACGACTAATACGACCTCTGTGGTCACGCCTGCGAGGAAGGGAACTCCCTAGAAACGATTAACAGAGGCTGTATATCAGAAAAGGAAGGAAAAGGGATTACGTTTTCGTTGTGAAGAAAAGTATACTGTTGGCCACAAATGCCGGAATCAAGAGCTGCGAGTTTTTGTAGTACATGATGAGGAGTTATACTCAGAAGAAGAGAATACCCCTAAGGTAGGGACAGTCGAGGTGGCAGAGGAAATCGGAAAGGCAGTGGAATTTCGTTTGAACAAGATCGTGGGCTTAACTACTCCGGGTACTATCAAAGTGAAGGGAGTTATCCAAGGCCGGGAAGTGGTGGTAATGCTAGACTGTGGTGCCACCCACAACTTTGTCTCCCAAAGAGTAGCGGAAGAGTTACAAATTAAACAATCTGATACATACAATTATGGAGTGATCATGGGATCAGGGGCAGGAGTGAAAGCCACGGGAATTTGTTGTGGAATTGTGCTAGAATTAACGGGGATTACCGTGGTCGAAGATTTTTTTACCAATTGAGCTAGGAGATCTGGATGTCATACTGGGGATGCAGTGGCTCCAGTCAATGGGGAAAATGGAAGTTGATTGGCCGACTTTGTCCATGACTTTTACAAGGGGAGATAAGAAGATCACAATTAAAGGCGATCCCAAGCTAACGAGGCTGGAAGTGTCTCTGAAAAGGTTGACAAAAGGATGGCAAGTCTCTGACCAAGGGTACTTGATAGAATTAAGGCAATTGACTGCCCATATGTTGACAGAGGAAGGGGAAGGAACTGAGGTGGAAACCCATTACCACGAAACATCCAAGAACTCCTGGGAGAATACGAGGATGTCTTCCAAAGTATGGGGCAACTACCTCCATCTAGGAGTGTAGATCATAGGATACAGATCAAAGAAGGGGAAGCTCCAGTGAATGTCCGCCCTTACCGATATGCACATGTGCAAAAGGAGGAAATTGAAAAACTCATCGAAGAGATGATTGAGGGAGGGATCATCAGGCCAAGCGTGAGCCCATATTCAAGCCGAGTGATTTTGGTAAAGAAAAAAGATTGCAGCTGGAGGTTTTGTGTTGACTATAGGGCCTTGAATAATGTGACAATACCAGAAAATTTTCCCATCCCAGTAATTGAGGAGCTGTTAGATGAGCTACACGGTTCACGGATCTTTTCGAAGATTGATCTAAAAGTTGGCTACCACCAAATTAGGATGGCACCAGAGGATATTCACAAAACTGCCTTCAGGACTCATGAAGGTCATTATGAATTCTTGGTGATGCCCTTTGGGCTGACCAACGCTCCATCTACATTTCAATCCCTCATGAATCAAATTTTCAGGCCGTTCCTCCGTAAGTTCATCTTAGTCTTTTTTGATGATATCCTAGTATATAGCCCGGATCTAACTACACATGAAAGACACTTAACTGTGGTGTTTAATTTGTTGAGGGACAACTCATTGTGTGCGAATTTGAAGAAGTGCCACTTTGCGCGTGAAAGAATCGAATACCTGGGCCATTGGATCTCTGCAGGTGGGGTGGAAGCTGATCAGGAGAAAATACGAGCAATGATACAGTGGCCCATTCCTACCACCCTTCGGGAACTCAGAGGATTCTTGGGCCTCACAGGATACTATCGAAAGTTTGTGGCGCACTACGGTACCTTAGCAGCACCCTTAACCCGCTTGCTAAAGAAAGATGCCTTTGAGTGGGATGAGCAAGCAACAGAAGCTTTTGAAAAGCTCAAGAAACCAATGGTAACCTCACCCGTCCTGGCGTTACCCGACTTCAGCTTGCCTTTCATTATCGATACGAATGCGTCAGGAACCGGGTTGGGGGCGGTACTAATGCAAGAGCAGCGTCCAATTGCTTTCTTCAGTCATACATTATCAGCGCAAGGGCAAGCGAAGTTTGTTTACGAATGAGAATTGATGGCAGTAGTGTTGGCTATTCAACGGTGGCGGCCATACCTGTTAGGCCAGAGGTTCGTGGTGAGGACAGACCAACAAGCTCCCAAGTACCGTTTAGAGCAACGGATAGTCCAACCGGAGTATCAAAAATGGATATCCAAACTGCTGGGATATGATTTCGAGATCCAATACCGTCCTGGATTGGAAAATAAGGCAGCCGATGCTTTATCAAGGATGCCGGTAACCCCACGGTTGGCTACTATGGTCGTCCCCGCTATCTTAGATGCGGAGGTG